CTAAACCTTTAGAGCACCCTTATAGAAGTCTCTGGGCAGCAACCCCCGAGCTCTGCTCCTCGAGGCGCGCATCGAACAGCTCGAGCAGCTGGTGGAAGCCATGCGCTTCACCGATCGCGAGGCCAGGTAGGGTTTAGGGTTTAGGGGTTCAGGGGTTTAGGGTTTAGGGTTTAGGGGTTAAGGGTTTAGGGTTTTTAGGGCTTTTCGGGTTTAGGGTTTAGGGTTTCGGATAGGGGTCCATAGGGGTTCATAGGGCTAAAAGGGGGCTATAGGGGTGAAAGGGGTTATAGAGATTTAGAGCTTAGGATAGGGTCCTCAAAGCGTTCCTCTCAGGATTCCGTTAAAGCTTCCTTTCAACGGTACCACTGCCCAAGCCAGGCAGAACTGCTCGGCTTATCTTTGAGGGATGAGACTTCTCTGAAGGTGGTACCCCTAAACCCTAAACCCTAAACCCTAAACAGTCCTTTGTGCAGGGCCGGGGAACTTCTGGTCTTTCTAAGGTAAGAAGTATGGGCCAAGAATACGGACCCTTAGGCATGTCTAAGGACCCTTTAAGGGTACATATGGGGTACATAGTAGGTGCAAAAGGATTTCAGGGTTAAGGGCCTCTACTAGGGGCCCATGGCTTCACCTTTAGATTCTAGCCAGAACCCGGCCAAAGCCTCCATCCAGGCTTCCCAGAGACTCCAGTATCCCTTAATTAAGGAATATGCCATAAATCATATTAGGGATCCTACTATAATTTAAGGTATATTCCTTAATTAAGGGATTTTGGAGTCTCTGGGTTGAAAACCCTGGAGACTTGGAGGCAGCTCATCGGTAGAGTCCTCGGATGCGAGGATGACAGCAGGCCCTAAGCCCTAAACCCAAAGCCCTAAGCCCTAAACCCTAAGCCCTAACCCCTGAACCCTAAATCGACGAGGTGACAGGAACCCGGCACCTTCGCAAGACTTGGGGTTTCGGCAGCCAAGTCAGCTGCCGCCGACTTGGAAAAAGCGTTGATAGCTCTGGAGACAGCGAAGAAACGGCAGCAAAATGCCAACAATGCTGGCAAGAAGGTTGTGTCGAACCCAAAACCCTAAAACCTAAACCCTGAACCCTAAACCCTAAACCCTAAGCCCTAAACCCTAAACCCTAAACCTGAGTTAGAGTTTGTTCGCCGAGATGAGCATGGCAAGACTGAGAATGATTTGGGAATTCAGGCTTCGGATCTCCTCTTCTCCAAAAACCAGCATGGCAAGAAGGCTCTGTCAAAGATAGGGTTTAGGGTTTAGGGTTTAGGGTTCAGGGTTTAGGGTTTAAGGGTTTAGGGCCCTGAAGACTCCAATATCCCTTGGTTCAGGAGTATGCCTTAAACTATAGTAGGATCCCTAGTATGATTTAAGGTATATTCCTTAATTAAGGGATATTGGAGTCTCTGGTTTCAAGGTTTAGGGTTTGGGGGTCTTAGGGTTCTTGTAAGGATTCCTTCTAGGGTTTCTGTATAATAGGTTCCAAAACAGTTTCGGGTTAAATATAGGGTCCCACATAATAATTACCAATATTAGTTTGGGGGGCTCCTTATTATAGTTGTAGTATAATGGGCCCCAAAACCCAATTCTAATTATTAAGGCCCCTATATTAGGTTTCGGGTTTGGCGGTTTAGCTGATTTTGGTTCAGGGCTACCGTCCCTAAACCTAAACCTTAAACCCTAAACCTTAAGCCCTAAACCCTAAACCCTAAAGCCCTAACGGGCGTTTAGGGTTGGTCAAGGGCAGGGGTAATGGCGAAGGCTTTAGCAAGGCTCATCTTTGAAAGGGTTTAGGGTTTAGGGTTTAGGGTTTAAGGTTCCTTTAAAACCCAGATATACTTTGAATCATAATAGGGGTCCCTACTATGATTTAAGGTATATTCCTTAATTAAGGGGTTTTGGAGCCCTGGGAAGGTTCCTTTAAAGGGTTCCTTTAAGGCGTTTCGGCCTCAGCTTGCTGGCGATTGAAAAGTTAAAGTGTGACTTCGTCGATATGGCTTACAATTTTGCTGGTTCAGTCGGGCTTTACCTTAAATCGACCAAAACCTGCTTCTTTCATGTAGGGTCCCTAGGAACTCCTTGTTAGGAACTGTTAGTGTCTATACTAGGAGCCTACCAAGCAGTAGGTTATGCTAATGTAACGTAAGGAAGGCTGTAGCGTTCAGAAAAAAACAAAACCCTTGAACATTCGAGGGTTTAGACTTCGGGGCTTGGCCTTAGGAGACCTGAAATCCCAATCTTGAGAAAACCACAAGCTGAACTCACGTTTTAGGGTTCAGGGTTTAGAGTTTAGGGTTTGGGGTTTAGGGTTTAGAGTTTAGGGTTTTCCGACCCCGGACCCTAAGCCCGAAACGCCTGAAGCTCTTGCCAATGCAGGAGCTGGTGAACACCATCGACGTTTGGAAGCGCGCTTACGAGAGGATCTGCATCGCGCGAGACGAGATGGAGGCCGCCGTTCTGTGGCGGGGGTATATAAGGATTAAGTCTTGATGGCTCCTTCTGGGTGAGGTTTTGATGGCTCCTTCATGTTGACGTGTTGCATTATGGGGCTTGCTGATCCTCCAAGGTCCTCGTATACATCTTGTATATTTCTTCTATGTATGTTTAGATATGTACATATATACATATGTGTACATGTGTCAGCCCTTAACCTTACAACGTGCATCCCGAACCTTACGAGGAGGTTCTTGGGGCGTATCGTTGTAGGAGACGTCATAACTATCTTGATCGATGCTGTAAATGAATACGTATAGTTACCTTGTTCATAACCCTAAACCCTCAACCCGAAACCCTAGTTACTCCCTTAAGAAACCCTGGGCCCTCAACTCAGAAAACCTTAAGCCTGGATCCTGGGCCCGAAACCCTATACCCTCAACCTCGTACGCTTAAATGGGAGGTTTTAGGGTTTAGAGGTTTAGGGTTTAGTGTTTATGGGCTACCTGCACCCCGAACCCCAAAACCCCAAGCCACAAATCCTAAACCCTAAACCC